TTAGAAGGAAAAACTCTCCTTTTATTTTTCGGACATATTCCTCAAAGCACTTGAGGACGTTGTCAATGTGAGAGTCACCAAGAGTCTCAATGGAAACTATGATGGACTCGTGTTTGATGTGACTAGGTCGCTCTCAAACATGAAGATAAAGCCACCGGAAGAAGGTTGTCTTGCTAAGGAAAGGCGCCGGCTTTGATCAAGGATCTACAATACCAAATTGAGACCCGGATGCCCCTCCGACCTCATGTGCTTGGAATAACTAGGCTCTTAAAGCACATGGAGCTTCTCAGAATCCCATTGGAGGATGAGATGCCAGGTCATGTCTTGCTTGCTTTACTTAACTTGGGCTATGATGCACTTAGAGTGCATATAGCTGCGGGAAAGGAGACACGCTCTTTAAGAGAGGCGGTGCAACTTCTTCACCGAGCCACTTCCTATGGAGTAACCGAAAGGCCCTTAAGAGAAAGGCGAAGATGCGATGCTTCTATTGTGGTGGGAAAGGACACTACAAGAGGGAATGCAAGATCTTCCGAAAGGATGAGGAGGAGAGGAATGTTTCATCTGTAGGGTTTCGTAGTGACCCGACACTACGCGGAAGGAAACCCACCAAGACCCGCCCCTTAATTAAAGCAATTAAACAAGCATAATAAACTTAATCAAACAAGATTAAGAACAAGAATTATACCTTTGACGCGTGCTTTGCTCCCAAAGAGCTCTTACTTCAAAATCCCGAAAAGACGAGATCTCCGACGGATCAAAATAACTATGAGTTTTACGAATCAAAGGTTTACTCTTTCTTAGAGTTGCCTTTTTAATTCCACTCAAGGTTGTTCATTTCCCAATACCCAAGCTTGGTATTTATAGGGAAATGAACCCTTGCATTTCATTCCCCAACCAATGTGGGAGAATGTTTTATTTGCTAATTAATTTATTTCTAAAATAAATCAATAAATAAATGCAATCACAATTCGACAGGTGTCAAAGGGAGAGAGAGTATTAGGTGAGGACCATGGAGAGGTGGGGGGACCAATGCCTTTCTCCCCAAGGCTTTCACAAAGCCTTGGTCCCCACTCTCCTCACAAACCGCCTCGTCCAAGGCTGCTGTCCAGCTGCCAGATAGCACGCCAGCTGGCTGTGCCAGCTAGCCCAGCATGCTAGCACAAGCCCAGCAGCAGCGCTGGTGCTTGCTGGTGCGTGCTGGCGCTGGTGCTGGCTGGTGCGTGCTGGTGCTAGTGCTGGCTGGTGCGTGCTGGCGCTGGTGCCAGCATCCCACGCATCATCGCTGCTCGCATGGCCCAGCATGTGTGCTGCTAGCGAGCCACGCATGCTGGCCTCTCGCTTTGCACCACACTCATTCATCATGCGCGCCACGCATCAGCCTCTCTCTCGCACGCAATGCCTAGCATGGTTGCTGCTAGCAAGCCACGCATGCTTGGCTTGACGTTGCTAGCTTGCTAGCCCCCCCCCCTAAACACTCGCATAGCCACACGCATCAGCCTCGGCCATGCATCGTGCACCATGCACGTACATGCCTCGCCTAAGCACCACGCACCACGCATGCGCCAGTGCCTAGCACTAGCTGTGCTTAGTGCGTGTGGTCTTGCCATGCGCCCATCATTATGCTAGGGCTGCTACGGCATCAAGCCATCCTAGGGCACGCATGGTGCGCCTAGTGATGCTGCCTGGGCTGCGATGGTGCCCAGCCATCCTAGGGCACTCATGGTGCGCCTAGTGATGCTGTTGGCTTGCGATGGGCTGCGATGGCGCCCAGCATCATGCTAGGGCTGCGATAGCGCCTAGGCATGATGACTGGGCTGTGTTGGCGCGCCTGGTGCTAGTGATAGCCAGCCATGGTGCCTAGCCATCACGCTAAGGCTGCGATAGCGCCTAGGCATGATGCTAGGGCTGCTATGGCGCGCCTAGTGCCTATGATGAGCTAGCCTAGCCTAGCTATGGCTACGCTCATACTTGTCGATTGTGATTTTGCGACGCTCGGTCTCGACGCCCTGGGCTCGATGTCCGACGTCTGTATTCGTAAAACTCTGTCGACTCATTAAATCCTTTCGGATTAATTCGTCGTCTCGGATCGGTGATTCGATTGGGTTCGAACCGAAGGGTTTAGTTAAGATCAAGCTGTAATATCAATTGTACCTCGATATTACTGATCGGAAGCGGACTCCACCTAGGCATTCCGATCACTTGACCTTACTGAAGAATTAGCTCTGTAATAATTATGAACCCTCTATCGGAAAAATACACTTGTTGAAAGGACACCATTCCTTTCAATCTCCAACTTGTCCTTCTGGACAAGTGTGCATACAGTGTATAGCTCATTTCCTATGTCACTTAATGTTTCTTCGTGAACTATAAGGTAAGTTTCTTTGTCATCCTTATTACGTTCAGAAGTGTTTCTCGATCTCCGAGTTCGACTGTCAATAAGCAGATGATTTCTAAAATCCATCTGAGCACGGCCATGCATTTTCACAGTCTCGCTCTTCGAGCGGCCTTGTAAAAACAAAACATTTTCCCTATTGTTAGTAGGGGGACAATCCCAGTCTTGTATTGTAAGTTCTTCTTACTAAGAGGACATAGTCTCCCGAGTGTTCCCGTTATGATCCCCAGTTACGGAAGACGTTTGGAAACATCAAAGAGTCTAGTACTCAAACAAGAAAACTTCACAGTACTCATGGTCGGAGGAAATAAGTTTCGATAGTCATAATGAGAAATGTACTTATGACAAAATTTGAATTTTCTTAAAGTACTCTCATAGGTCTTATCCAATACAGTTCCAAACCGTACCTGTGCAAATGATTTATGACCGTCACGTCCTCGCAGCACAAGAAACGGTGCTGTAAATCAAACTACAAACTAATCTATGGCGGTCATCAATCGCCCATCTGTTAGATGACCTTGATTAGGGATACTTTTCGATTTAATATTCAATGTTCACTTAACAGGTGTTTCCTTATCCAAGACATGGTCTTGATACCCTGTTTTGAATATTTCCGTAAATCGAATGGACTCATTATTTAATTCTAAACCACAATTAAATAGTAATGGAGTGAATGATAATTTTGCACAAAAATTAATTACTCCATTAATGAATGGTTTTAATACAATGTCTTACATTAAATACCCTATTTAATTAAAACACATGTATAGGGAATTTCAAAGCCAGTCTCCAACATGCTTGATTCCCATTGCCTCAATGTGCTTGTTGTGTTTCACTTGAGGCAAAGGTTAAGTAAAAAGATCGGCTACATTATCATCCGTGTCGATCTTACAAATTCTGATTTCACCTTTGGATTTCCATTCCCTTGTCATGTGAAATCGCCTTTGCACGTGTTTGACCTTCTGGTGTTCTCTCGGCTCCCTGGCCTGAGCAATAGCTCCATTATTATCACAATAGAGGTCTATCGGCCCCTTAGGTCTTGGTGCTATTGTTGATAGGGAGAGTGATTCTTGGTCTTCAAATTCTCAAAGTAAGGAAATGGCGGGACAAGAAGATGATGTTTTGTTTCGTGAGTTTGGGAATCCCGAGTATTATGAGCTTACGGGAGGGATTTTGCTACCCGTCACGGAAACCAATTTTACCATTCATCCTCAATACACTAGAATGGTACAAGCGGAACAATTTTCGGGTTCTCCAAGTGAAGATCCTATTGAGCACCTTGACAGATTCCTTAAGCTTTGTGCCATGAGTCAAACCAATCAAGGTTCTCAAGAATACATCCGTATGCACTTATTTTGACAATCTCTTTCGGATAGGGCAAAGAAGTGGCTCAAACAAGTTAAGCCAAATTCTCTTACAACATGGAGAGAGATAGTCAAGGAATTCTTGAAGAGGTTCATTTTTTAAGAAAAGACCGCCGAAATGAGAAGAAAGATTACATCATTTGAACAAGAAGGGGATGAGAGTCTTAGTGAAGCTTGGGAAAGATTCAAAGAGTTGGTACAAGCATGTCCTCACCATGAATATAATCAAAGCTTGCTCATGCGATTCTTCTATGATGGATTGGAACCTATGTCTAGAGCTAACTTGGTTGCGGGGGCGGGTGGATAATTGATTAAGGTCCCCCAAAATCAAGTTGAAACAACAATTGAAGAGGTAGTGAAGAACTACTCTTGGGGTGAAGGGTGGAAAGTATGAATTGGAGAAGGTTGATCAATTGCAACATCAAATTGAGCTTTTGACAAAAGGGCTTGCAAAGTTGAATACGAGTGTCAATAGTGGGGCAAGCTCCTCTGATGTCAATTCTTTCTCTTGTCAAAATCGTGGTGGAACAAACCACAATACATATTATTGTGGAGGTTTGAGCCTCGAGCATGTGGCGGCATACAACACAAGGCAAGATGGATATAGGGGAAGTGGCGGTGGAGTAGCTTGGAGGCAACCACCACCCGGATTTGCTCACCAGCCTCAACAATGGAATCAACAAGCTCAACAATCATACAACTCCAACCCTCAATACCAAAACCCACCTCCATTTCAAAACCAAAACCCAAGAGGAAACTACCCAAGAAACAACCAACACAATAATCAAAACCAATACAACAATCAAAATCATGCGTGTCAAAGGAGCCAAGACTAAGCATTTCAACCCAATTCTACACAAACTCAAATTTTTCAACAACTTCAAGCCATGAATCAACAAATGCAAGAGGTCAAGGCTCATAACAAGATGGTTGATTCACAACTAGCTTAATTAGCCGAGAGAGTCCCTTTCAACTCACCTTCTACGCTCTTGAAACCTGACTCTTGCAAGGCAATCACATTGAGATCGGGCACATCCTATGAGGGTCCTAAGGAGGGGGCTAGTGAGGAAAAGAAGGAAGGAGAAGAGAGTGTGGGTGAAAACAAGGAAGTTGATGAAGAGAAGGTTGTTGAGAAAGAAAGAAGTATGGAGAAGAAGAAGCTTAAAGATGAGAATACACCTTAAACTCCTAGTGAAGCTAAGAATCTTTATGGGCCGGTTCCATTTCCCGGTCGACTTGCGGACATGAAGTTGAATGACAAGTTTGCAAAGTTCCTTAGTGTGATGAAGAATTTGCACATAATCCTCCCTTTCATCGAAGTTGTCACACAAATGCCTTCATACTCCAAGTTCCTCAAGGATATTTTCACCAACAAGAAGAAGCTCAATGATGAGCTCATCACTCTTCCCCATTCAGTGAGTGCACTTGTTCAACATAAGATGCCTAAGAAGCAAAAAGATCTGGGAAGTTTAACTTTGCCGGTAAAGATTGCGAACATGGAAGCTAGGGGCGCCTTAGCCGATCTTGGAGCAAGTGTTAGTTTGATTCCTCTATCCATTGCTCAAAAGCTTAACATTGAAATGATCCCTGCAAGGAAGACTATCCAATTAGCCGACCGTTTGGTGAAGTTACCTTGTGGTGAGCTTGAAGATGTTCCTATTCAAGTTGGGCATATTTGTGTGCCTTGTGATTTTGTAATGATGGATATGGATGAAGATGTTGATACTCCTTTGATTTTGGGTCGTGAAGCTCTTAAGACTTTAGGGTTGGTGATCAATTACAAGAACAACATCATTACATGTGAAGTTGGCGATGAAAAGATTGTGTTTGAGTTCTTTAAGTTACTTAAGACCCCAATGGTTGAAAAATGCTATAGGGTTGATGTTGTGAATAAGGAGTTAGATCGCTTGGGAAGGGTTGTGATGAAGCCTCAAGATCCAATTGTTGAAACTCTTACATGCAAGGAAGAGTATCACTCTCAAGAAGCAAAAGAGTTCGTCATGGCCATAGAAGAAACCTAAATGGAAGAAGACCATGAACAACAAGAAGATAAGAGAGAGCTTGAACTAGAGGAGAAAATGGAGGAGAGTTCCAAGCCTCCTCCCAAGGTAGAGCTCAAACCCCTTCCCCCTCTTTGAAATATGCTTATCTTGGAAATGAAGGGGAATACCCTATTATTGTTAATGCTACCCTTGATGGTCTTGATTTGGAAAAATTGCTTGTTGTGTTGAGAAAATATAGAAATATGATAGGGTATAGCATTGATGATATCAAGGGTATTAGCCCCTCTTTGTGCATGCATCATATTCATCTTAAGGATGATCAATCCACCTCGATTGAACCTGAAAGGAGGTTGAACCCCAACCTCCAAGAGGTTGTCAAGAAGGAAATCTTGAAATTGCGTGAAGCGAGCATAATTTATGCTATCTTTGATAGCAATTGGGTTAGGCCGATTCACGTGGTTCCAAAGAAAGGTGGAATGACCATCGTCAAGGGAGAAGGAGGAGAGGAAATCTCCAACCGGACGGTGACCGGGTGGAGAATGTGTATTGATTATAGGAGGCTGAACAAAAATACAAAGAAACACCATTTTCCTCACCCCTTCATGGACCAAATGTTGGAGAGACTTTCTCACCACGCTTTCTTTTGTTTCTTGGATGGGTATTCCGGATTTTTCCAAATCCATATCCACCCAAATGACCAAGAGAAAACTACATTCACATGTCCATATGGAACATTTGCGTACCAAAGAATGCCATTCGGGTTGTGCAATGCTCCATCAACATTCCAACGATGCATGACTTCCTTTTTTTCGGAAATGCTTGAAAATGAGATTGAAGTTTTTATGGACGATTTTAGTGTTAGTGGCTCGTCTTTTGACACTTGTCTTTATAATCTTGAAAAAGTTTTGAAAAGGTGTCAAGAGACGAGTTTGGTTTTAAATTGGTAGAAATGTCACATTATGGTTGAGTAGGGAATTGTCCTAGGCTATAAAGTGTCAAAGAAGGGCATTGAGGTTGACTCGGCTAAAGTTTCAGTGATTGCAAAGTTACCCCCTCCTACTTCCGTTGCGGGAGTGAGAGCCTTTCTAGGGCATGCCAGTTTTTACCGGAGGTTTATCTAAAAAATTTCGTCAATTGCCAAACCTTTGATCAAATTACTCAAGACCGATGTTGTATTTAACTCTGATGAGGCTTGTCTTGAGGCATTTCAAAAACTCAAGTAAGCTCTCATTTCCTCTCCCATTTTGCAAGCTCCGGATTAGAGCTTGCCTTTTGAGCTAATGTACAATGCGAGTTATTTTGCAGTAGGTGCGGTGCTTGGGAAAAAGAAAGACGGAAGATCTCATATCATCTACAATGCAAGTAGAACGCTTGATGAAGCTCAAAAGAATTACACAATGACGGAGAAGGAAATGCTTGCGGTTGTGTTTGCCATGGACAAGTTTAGGTCCTATCTTATTTTCTCCAAAGTGATTGTGTACACGGATCACATAGCGGTTCGCTATCTTATGACCAAGAAGGAAGCAAAGCCACGTCTCATCCGTTGGGTTCTTCGCTTCAAGATTTTGACATGGAGATGAGAGATAAAAAGGGAGCGGAAAACTATGTGGCGGATCATTTGTCTAGGCTTCCTTTTGAGAACAAGGAGGATGTACCAATCAATGAAGAAGTAGGATTTAAAATTCTCATTGCTATGGCTTCAACATCTAGCCCATGGTATGCGGATATAGCCAACTATCTTGCTTACGGAGTCATTCCCCCGGAGTTCTCTTCACAACAAAAGAAGAGGTTTTACAAGGAAGTGAGGAGGTACTTTTGGAATGACCCCTACTTGTTTAAATAGTGTGGAGATGGCATCTACTGGAAATGTGTTCCGGACCATGAAATCGAAGGAGTTCTTGAGCATTGCCACTTGCTGCCATGTGGAGGACATGGGGGAGTTAATAAGACGATGGCAAAGATTTCTCAATCTCTCCTATGGTGGCCGACGATGCATAAGGATGCTCAAAATTTTGTTTTAAGATGCGACAAGTGCCAAAGAAGTGGTGGCATAACCAAAAGAGATGAAATGCCTCAACAAAACATTTTAGAAGTTGAGCCTTTTGATATCTGGGGTTTCGACTTTATGGGGCCTTTTGTCTCTTCATGTGGGAATTTATACATCTTTGTAGCAGTTGACTATGTGACTAAGTGGATTGAAGCCATACCCTCCCCTACAAATGATCGTAAGATTGTGCTTAAACTTCTCAAGGAAATCATATTTTCACGGTTTGGGGTTCCTAGGGTGCTAATTAGTGATGGAGGTTCTCATTTCGCCAAGACACAATTCGAGGCTCTTCTCAAGAGGTATGGAGTTCATCACAAAGTTGGTATACCTTATCATCCTCAAATTCAAGGGCAAGTGGAGGTGTCAAATAGAGAGATCAAGAACCTTCTTGAAAGGATGGTGAACAAGTCTAGGAAGGATTGGTCCCTCAAGCTTAAAGACACACTTTGGGCCTTACGGACGGCGTACAAGACTCCAATTGCTAAAACCCCCTATCGGTTGGTCTTTGGGAAGGCTTGTCATTTGCCGGTTGAGTTGGAGTATAGAGCTTGGTGGGAAATTAAGGAGCTTAACATGGATAAGTCGTTGGCCGGTGAGAAGAGATTGCTCAAGTTCAATGAACTTGAGGAGCTTCGATATGATGCCTACGAGAACTCAAGGCTATGCAAGGAGAAAAACCAACATATAAGGAACAAGAGCTTCAAGGTTGGTGACAAGGTGTTGTTGTTCAACTCTAGGCTTCGTTTGTTTCCCGGAAAGCTCAAATCCAAATGGTCGGGGCCTTTCATGATTTCAAGGACTACTCCTTATGGGTCTTTTGAGTTAGAGGCGGGTGACAACAAGTTCATGGTTAATGGTCATCGTTTGAAGCACTACTTTTGCAAGGATGAAGTTGGATTGATTGAATGCATGAGGCTTAATTTGAAGGATCTTGAGCCACCCTCTTGATGATAATTTCACATGGTCAAGCTAGTGACCTCGTAAAGAAGCACTTCTCGGGAGGCAACCCAAGTTCTCAACTCTTTTGTTCTTTATTTCCTTTATTTAGTCGATTTTGATTGATCCCTTTTAAGGGTTTTTATCTTATGGTCTTTGGTTGTTATTTTGTAGGTACTTGAATTTTTGGGCATTGTTTTTCTAGAATAAGGTTTGAGGGTGTTTTCACCTCAAGGGAATGCTTTTGATGAGCCAATATGGAGTTATGAAAGAATAAAGGGTCGAATCTTATGTTTCAAGAGCTAAAAGGGAATGCACACAAAGGAGAGCCTTCTCCAGAGATCCGCGGGTGCGGCAAAGATAGCCGCGGGCACGAACATAAGAAGGAAGTTCCTCCCTAACATTCTGGAGATGCCTTGCCACGCCCAAGGAGAGGGCGCAGTTTACGTGCCGCGGGCGCGACATTTATACCCACGGGCACGGCACTGCGGGTGTGCGATTATCTCTGATTTTTTTTTCAACATTTTCGCACGCCTCTTTTTCCCTTAATTCGACATCTTCCTTCTTCATTCTCTCTCTAACTTCATCCTTTTCAAACCCTAACCTTCAACTCACAAATTCATCAATTTTCATCACAAATTCATAATAAAATCATCAAATTTCTTTACTTTCCTTCAGTTTCCTCAACAAAAATACGAAAATTTTACCATTCAAGGCTTGCTACGGGGCATTTTCTTGCGGATTCACTTGGGTCTCCATTGTTGATTTCTTGAAGGTAGCTCGGATTTCTTCTTCAAAAGGGCTAGTGGAAGTGGAGTGTGATCATTCTATCTTGGTATATTTCACTCTTTCTTTAGTTTCAATTGAAATTTGAAGCAATTTCGTTGAAGAGAAACATTGTTGTTCTTGTGATGTTGTTCGGGGGTTTTTGATGATTGAATGCCGATTCATGTTGTATTATCTTCATAGCGTTTTTGTTTGTTGATTATTTGCTGACATTGTCGATTGTTGGAGAGTATTATGGATTGTTTGGTGTTGTTGAGTGAAGTTCAAAGTGTGGTATTTGTGAAGGCTTGTTGAATTGGGTGGATTATTCTTGTGATTTGTTGTGTTTGATTGAGCTTGGTTATTGTCAAAATGGTGTTTGGGTCAAAGAAGGGAAAGAGTGGGAAGGAACCCCAAGGTTCTACCTCCCAAAAACCCCCAAAACGATGAACAACCACCACCACCTTTGCCACCTATCAAATTCCACAACAAAAACCACAAATCCATCTATGACAACTTGCAAAATCGTAAGTTTCGACCCACCAAAAATTACCACCAACCAACTACAACCAAGCTTGGCAGCGATGACGATTATTGGTTCCTATTCAACAATCTAAGGCTGGGCTCTTTTGTTTCAAGTGCTTACCGAACATATAAAGAGCCTACTCTCGAGTTTCTAGCCTCTTTCGAATGCCACGCAGCAGGAGAAAGAGACCTCACCATCTCTTTCTAACTCTTCAATAAAAAAGAAACCATAAACCTTCACCAATTTAACCAACTCCTCGACCTCAACCCTGACGCCGACATGTTCTTCCTGAAAGAGGGTTCTGATAGAGGGTTCTGAATTATTACAGAGCTAATTTTTCAGTAAGGTCAAGTGATCGGAATGCCTAGGTGGAGGCCGTTTTCGATCAGTAATATTAAGGTATAATTAATATTACAGCTTAATCTTAATTGAACCCTTCGGGTCGAACCCAATCGAACAACCGATCCGAGACGATGAATTAATCCGGAGGATTTAATGAGTCGATAGAGTTTTACGAATACAGACATCGGATATCGAGCCTAGGGCGTCGAGACCTAGCGTCGCAAAATCACAAACGACAAGTATGAGCGTAGCCGTAGCTAGGCTAGGCTAGCTCATCGCAAGCCTAGGCGCACCATGTGTGTTCTAGGTGCACCATGGTGTGCTAGACGAGGCATGAGTGCCTGGGCGCTATCGCAGCCCTAGCATCATGCCTAGGCGCTATCGCAGCCCTAGCATCATGCC